CCCCAAAACCCCAAAACCCCGATTATCATAAATAATCAAATATTTGGCAATCATAATATAATCAAATTTAAATTGATATATAAATTTACTAATATGAAATTGTCATGAACTTTAACTTCAACTCAATAATGAAAATCAGTTATTTTCAAAAGCGAGACATCTGTTTACAGGGAAAAATTTAGCATCCTTCTTATAAAATAACTCTTTAACATAAATCTCAGCCCCGCTTAGCTCTTTGGGATCTTTAGTTTGCAAATACAATAGAAAATATACATAAGCGAAGAGGTTATGCTCTCTAAGAATGTGATCCTAGTAAGAATAATTGTGTTCTTCAAAGTGATTTTTATTAAAACCACAAATGAAGCATTTTTCTTTAATCTCTGATTTCATCTACTTTCTATCATCTCTAATGTCAGCAAAAGCATCAATAATAATAGCAAGTATCAGATTCAAAAGCAAAACTATAATAATCAAGAAGAATGACAAGTCGTAGATCCATCTTCCCCAATAGTCTGGTTCACTCTTTATTAATTAGGAGAGTGAATCGCCTATACCCCCACTTCCTCTCAAGCCATTGCTTAAAGTAGATGTAAAGCATTCTATCATTGTAGAGCAGTAGTTATTAAGAGATGGATCTTCAAATCTATTAGCAATATCTATGTAGCTCTCTCTGAAGTACATAAATGAAATCATGGCATAAAAGTATGTAACTGCAGCAATAAAGAGTAATGTATTGATTATTTGACTTCGATTTTTATTCAAAGCTCCCATTACACTGGATAAAATTGGTACCTTTATTACTAACTCCAAAAGTAAAACACTAAAAATTGGGAAGTAAAATAATCCAACAATAGAAAGCACTAGATGGACATAATTATATCTCTATGTCAAATCAATCTTTAGTCCTATCCAAAATGATTATACCACGTATGAAAGGTACTCTTTAAATCTTCTCATTACAGGGACTTGCATTCTTCTCTGGGATAGTTATTCCTCAGACAATATGATTTCATCTATATTTTTTTAGCCTATTTTTGACTTTTTTGTGAATGAATGGCTGTAGGCGAATCCACAAGAGCCCTGAAATTCAGTAAGGTGAATTTATTTCACTCTCTTTTATTACACTTGATATTTCTGCCAGAAAACTCCATGATATCTCTATTGGTAAGATAAGTAGATCAGTAATGCAATAAACATCTATATTATTGCTAGAATCTCAGTAATAGATTCGATTTATGAATATTAAAGTGTCGTTGAATTTTCTCCTTTTGCTTTGTAAAACACCAGCAAGATGAAATTGATTATAACAATCAATCCATAGGAAATTTAAGATAATCTTTGGTATTTTGTACTTAGTAAGGATAGAAGGTATGATCTTCTGGCAAGCCTCTAAACACTCTTCATTTCAGATTCAATCAATTGAGTTTTCACAAATATATCCTCAAGTTTATCCATTTAACTCGTTTAAGTTGTATCATGAGCAATTTCGTCCTTTGTTTTTATCGACATAAATGTACAAAATGATGGTATTTTAAACATAATGCCTACAAGCTTTCCTTTACTATTATTTTTAAAATTATAAAAAATACTTACAAATCTACTTCAACGCTTGCAACATTAGATATATAAAATCTTATTGCTGTATCTAGTTTAAATTACTCGAATGAATAAACAGGCTCAAATTTGAACTATTTTTTCAAACTTTTCTTTAATTATTTATAGTCATCTAGCTCTTGCTTAATAAGCCCTGCTTTTGTCTTTTTTCGAAATATTTTGTCATTTTCACTGTGCTCAGTTGAATGTAATAACTCATCATTTTAATCATCACCTCCATTGATCATTAATATTTAGTTATTTCTGAGTCTGTTCTGCTTTCTAAAACAAGTGCAGCAAGTGAAATAAACAAATAAGTGTAGTATTCTTGTAAATATGCCTAAACTTGGATCACTCCTAAGGCAGCAAAACCTTTTACATTTACCCTCTATTTTCCGGCCATATCTTGTTGTTAATGATCTCACAATAATTTGATCCTCAATGGGACCATCATCATCCATATTATAGCCTCCAATTCTAGTAGTTTATTCTTGATCTATACCCTCATTCAATAAGTCTTCTTATTTTTTCTTCTTGGGATCTTCTTTCTATGGAAACATCCTCTATGCAGGCTCTGATAGAACCATTTGCTGTAATAATTCTTCTGCTTTTTATTTTCTGTTTACTTCAGCTGATTAATTATCATCCTTTATCCTCTATTAGTATGCTTCAATCGAGACAATTGATTTCTTTTTAAGCTTAGGCATGTATTAATCTTTAAATTCCTGGTAAAAATCATCATTCGTCAAATCAAAATCACAGTCTTTCACTTCTATATGATCAGGTATTATTTGTTTAAACTGAAAAATCACAATGAATATGTCAAAGCCTGCTTATATTATCTTGTGATCGAAAGATATCAAATGTCCATATTAGCAGAATTCATCTTTTTCACACATATTTGATCTCACTACTCCATGCCTCAAATAATGAGTACATCTCTATAATACATTTAAAATTATGATTTACTTTATCAGCCATATAAATATTGATCTTCTTTTAATCTCCACCAATTTTAAACTAAAATACTTCTATCATTTTCTACTTCAAGTAGAAAGGTTTAATTTCTTTGAATATCTCTTGAAGTTGCTGCTATTTGAAAATTGAATTATCTGAATCAACTAAGGAGAGAAGTAATCTCGACGTAAGAGAAAAAAGAGTTAATTTTGCCTTCTGCTACATTGTGTTTGCGTTATAGTAGCCAAAGTCTTAGGCAAAAAAGAAATTCAATGCTCTGCAAAAATTTTTCCACTGGCCTAATTGAATCTAATTTTAAGTGCATGGACCTTAGACAAGATCAATTAGTGAAATTAGAGTTTGCTCTAATGCTTCAAATAACTAATTAATGATTAAAATATATAAATACTGATACTTACTATAAAATCTTAAAATATCATCTTGTCTAGTTTTTAGGTAAAACTAATTAATATTGTGCCTATCTCGTTTACAATATTAATAGTTGTCACATACTCTCTATCTTTATTATAATCCTCTTGATTTCTGAGGTAATTTTAGAATCCTTCGTGACATCCATGACAAAGAAGCTATATTAGCCTTAATATGTTGAGGAGTTCATTCGATAATTGCTACTATGATAATTTTTCCAATTCATTTTCGAAATCATATTTTGCAGTCATATAAAAAGGTTACTAGTTAATATTTTTGAGGACCATTTCATTGTTAGAAACTAATGCTAATTATTGATAAGAGTATTTCTGCTTATGGGGAGCTTTAACTTAGTTTTAGCTTGTGTCATCATGTTAAGATTGAATCAGTATTTTTTACTCGCTATCAGTAATTAATTTTTGAGAGCTATGAGCTAGTCTGATTTTAATATATTCAAAGAATAAGAATTATTGCTTGCTTGCTTTTAGAATGGTCAGTAGCTCATCTTATATCTATAATAGTTGTAAAATAAAATTAGGATTACAATTGAGTTTGATCCTGATAGCAGAGCAATCAATAGCAGAATCGCTTCAGAGGAGTTGTCTAAAATTTCATGCTTTGTAATAAGTTTAAGGACAATTTGGCAAACTTGGCACTCTTTCATTATTTCTTAAAGTTATGTCAGTCTTCTTTTTGCAATTTGTAACACTTCTTATTCGGTATCTTCGTCAAAGTTTGAAGCCATGTATTATTCCAATAACATTCGAAGCATCTTGATTAAATAATACTTTTGCTCTTCTTTCTGAAATCCTTAAATCATATTTTCAATCAATTCCTTGATTGCTTCAGTCTAATTTTTTTCAAAGGCTTTGTTGAACTATCATTAAGTTATAATTTATAATAATACTTACAATATTACTAATCTTGTTTACAATGTCCTTTATTTCATCAGTACTTTTATATCTTTGGCAGAAATCAAAGAAGCATTTCGCGTAAAGTTTTAAATCACTGCTGCAAGCGACTGACAACTCTTCATCCTCCATCTTAAATAAGATAATTTCTCCCTCAACTTGTCTCTCACGCTTCTAATGGGGTGGCTTGTATCCTGCTTTTTGAAGAACTTTCTTAAGCAAAATCTCGAAGTCTCTAAAGTTAAAATTGAGTTCTGAAGTCAAGTCAGGTGCGATTCTAGGATGTATGTGACCTTCTTAGCCAATATCAACCTGCATGATCTTTCTCTCCTGCTCCTATTCCTTTGAAAAGTCTACGAAATAGGTTATAGCCTTATCTATCTCCTCAAAAGAGGCTTCAGTGCCAGCAATATCTTTGAGCTTTTTCTTGAGTAAGAATTTAGAGATATACTCATCATTTGAAATACTCTCAATTCCAAAAGCCTCTTTAATCTAGCAGTTCTTACTGATGATATAATCTCGAACAATCTTAAGGATTTTGTCTGAAGCCATTCTAATGTCAAGCATTTTAGAATCGTCTAATTCATTCATTTGACTTTCCTCGGTCATTAGTTAGGCTTCATTATCCTCACCCTAGTCATGCTTAAATCCTCCTTTGGGTATGTTTAATTTAGGTATACTGGCAATAGCTTCATTAATATGATATATTATAGACTCAACATCTATCAAATTTTATTTACCTTTCTCAAGAACACTGTGCAAGTCATCACTCATTTTAATCAAAATTTCTTTGATTTCAGCTGTAATTGTGATTAAACTTGTGCTCATTCTATGCTTTGATCTTTTAATTGTATTATAGAAGTCTCGAATAAAGTGCAGTAGTCCATCTGCTCTGTTTGTTGACTTTTAATATCTCGATAGGTAGTTCCAATACTCAGAAAAGTCTAAGTCATTAATTAAGGGAATTGACTTAGTGCATCTTAATACTGTACCAGCTTTTGCCTTTTCTTCTCTGTAGTTATCCAGCATCTGTCTATTTTAATCACTTTATGCCATTTTTTATAGTTAAAATTTGGACATCTTCTCAAGGGATTACAGCTTTCCCTCTCTATTCTTTTCGTTTTCATTATCCCTTTTGGCATCTGGGAGGATTTTAGTTACGAGTCCTGTGTAGTATGTGGGGTAACTCTTCAAATCATCTCTAACTATGAATCTAAGAGTATCATAGAATCTCTAAGAATTCAGATCAAGATTCGATATATCTTCCACATCATTAATGTAAATTTCGAATAAAAACCTAAAGTAGTGCTTCTTGAATAAGAAAGGCATAGCTTCGACATTTATATTGAGGAAAAGATGTTCTGGGTCTGCCATAAGTTTTCTTGCTTACTGAATTCCATAAACTGAATTAGAAGCACAAGCTGCAATTAGGTCTACAGTATATAAATGCTGGCATATTCTATCCCAATCCTCATCATTCTTGAGAGCTTTATCAGACTATACCTATCCTAATTTCTTTCTGTATTATGTCAAAATTGTAAGCTTGTTCTAGAATTATTCAGAATCCAGATAAAGTCTAGACCTAAAATGCTTCTTTTTTATTAATCTTTTCATGATTTATATCTTATTATTCGGATTGTTATATGTCATTAACACCAGTAGTCTTAGGAGAAAAGACTTGAATTAATTGCCTTTGGAAAGCTTGAATAGCAAGAATTCAAGAAATTGCTAGCTTTCTTCCTGATTACTATGAGCTGAGATTATCTTTGCTATTAATTTAGTGATTGGAATATCCCTATCAATAAGACTCACCAGATAGTTTAGATGAGGCCATAGCGATCTTTGATTGTTGGGGTTATCGAAAGTAAACATAAACAGGAAATGGGAGATTTCATTAAACAACTCGTAGTGATCTTGATGCTTATACCATATGTTCTTCATCATTCTGTTTACGAGTTCATCAGAGACATCAAGGTGTCTCAGCATATTTTACTTTTTAAACAGTCTTAATGGTTCTTATTTTAAACTCTGGGTGAGACCTCTGAGGATATTAGTAACATCCTAAATACATTTCTTCTTTTTCTCGTTATCTGGGTTCGTAAAGAACAAATACTTTAAGTCATCAGAAATGAGTTAGTCAATGTGCTCTTTCAACCTGTAGGTTTAAAACTTGAAATCTTAATACTCCTGCTGGTCTTAATTTGAAATTATCAACTCTACTTTAATGAGTTCCTGCATAAGAGTTTATCTCTGTTTAAAGTTCATAACAAGCACCTCTGCAGCATTATCTTTAATCTAATGGTTCAAATTATTCTTGAAAATCATAAATAGAAGGAAGTCATATAAAGAATATTTTTTATTTCTAAGCTTCCTTTTTTTCTTGAGCTCTAGTTCCTCTTTCTGCTCATCAGTCAACTCAACAGCATCTGCATTTTACTGTTTCTTCTTGAGAGCCTTCATAGTTGGGTCATCTTTTATCTCATCATCTATATCTGAAAGGTTAATGAGGTCTATTTCTAAGATGGTTCCACGCTAGGCATTATCTTTTATCTTGCTAAATAATGACTTTACATCTTGAAGCAACTTTGATGTTGAGTTGAAATCAGTTCCAAACTGATAAAGTTGAAATATGATGTTGAATTTAATGTCATGCTCATTTTGATCAATAAAAACTTAAGGTAGATCATTTTCCTCTTGCATTTTCTTGAACAGCTTTAAGAATAGCATTATTTGACTGTTTAATCTAAATTTACAAAGAATTTTTAGCATTTACAATGTTCTAATCTCTAGTTGTTCAATTTTATTCTCACATCCTCTTTATTTTTTTGCTACTTTCAAGAACCTTACAATCCAACTTTTTTCACCTTCCTCAGGCATTTCGTCAATATTGTAACTTAAAAATATTAGTGCTGCAGTTTTAATCATTCGATAAATAAATCTAGAATCAACATGCTCACATTCTATTAAGGAAATTGAAGTATCCATATAATTTAATAGTAGCTTTAGCTTGGGGTCAACATCTTCTCTTGTATATGTTTTAGTAGCATAACTGTAAAGGAATTCAATAATGTCTGATGGCCCAGTAGAGAAGAATTACATCACAAGCTGTCTAACCTTCTCTACAGCTTCTCTAATTGACTCTTGTTAATTTGAAATAATCTTGTTTTAATGGACATTTTCGTATTTAAGTTTTTCCCAACCATACATTGTTCTTTATGGATGGGCTTTTCCAACTCCTTCCCAACTATTATAAATTAGAAAAATCTTAATCTTACAAGAAGCATCTATTTTTAGATTTTGCTAGAGTAGGGAAAGGATCACAATCAATGAATGCTACTTTGGCAATTTTAATTATTGAAGCTTTAAATTTCTCATGAATGTTCTTATTTTAAAGAACATTAATTACTAGATCAGGGCTTATTCCGATTTCTCTGACTCTTTTAATTGCATCAGCGTTTCTGCCTATACACATATTTGCGTATAAATCAATAACTGCGCATATATAGTTAATATAAGGCATGCATGTTTCATACTTCAAAGTCATTTCTTATAAATCAAAGGTGATTTCAAACTCTTTAGCATATCCAGTTTAATTTTACTTGTAAATATCTCTTAAATTTGGATTACGAACCATAAAAATGTCAATGTTTTCGGACTTCTTTTTAGTAAACGATACGAAGAGCCTATCGATTTCTCTTTTTTAAACACTAAACTTCAGGGGGATATCCTATTCATTTGAAAATACATTGATAACAGCCTGAACCTAATAGTGATAAACTGGGCTTCCATCATCCTTGATGCACATATTTCCTATTACCTTAAGGAAAAGTATTTATTTTTCTATATTTTGCTTAATTTCATCCTAAAAGTAAACAGTTTCTAGCAATTTCACCCATTTCTATTACTGATTGACATTAACTTAATTTGAATTCTGAGATACATCATGAATAACTTTGAGATCAAGACCATCTGCATGTATGTATGAGGCAGCAGTATCGTAATGAATATAAGTAGCTCTTTTATAGGTTTCTTTGAAAAGTTTTGCTACTAGTTGAATAGGGTGTCTACTCATCATGTTAAAGATTATGTCATCGTACTTAGTCATTATATTTGCATTTCTTACGTTACCTTTTATAAGCAAATGGACTGTTTTAAGAACGGATCTTATAGCAGGGTCCAAATATTCTTGGGCTATTTATTCAACTTCATCTTAATCTAAGTCTTTCCTATCATCTTTAATTCCTTTCTCTTTTGCACTTTAAAAGGGAGGATCTCTATCGACGTAATTTACAGTCTTATAGTACATTAACTCCAATAGTTTCAAAAGCATTTAAAGTAGCCCTTATTCTGCTAGTTAAGTTTAAACTTAGCCATAAAATATTCTATCCTTAGCTTTCGCCATATTCAAGATGTCATTGATATAATTTATCACAATCTCAAAATCTTCAATAGTTTAGACTAGTTAATCCTCTTGCAAAATTGCTTCGTCCGAATCATACTTGAAGTTATCAACAGCATCATTATCATCGTCGGTGGAAGCTACACCCCAAAGATTTATGAAGGCATATAGATTAATCAGGTAATTGAAATAGCTAAATCCTAAATAGGCTATCATAGCCAAATCTTTTGGTACCTATTGAATTTCAAAAACCATTTTAGAAACGTCTTCTTTAGCAAATCTGCCACATACTGTAGGAATTTAACTATCAGCTCCTTCCTGAGCTAACTTTTAGTGATAAGATTTGAAATTGTATTCAAATTTGACAAGCTGTTCATCATTAAAGTCTTAATATATCTGAATAAATTTATTGAAAATGCTTTCCAGGAGTATTAGCTCACCACTTTTAAGTTCTTCAAAAACATCTCCCATATTTGGATGATATTAATCTACAATAATATTTTTATTTGTTTGATAAACTTACCTCTTCTGAATCTAAATAATGTATCAAGTCCATCTGCTTCTGATTTCATGGCTAATTCTAATTTGTCTGAGGTTAGTGCTAGATATTTGCCAGTCCCAATATGCTTAATCCTATAGACGTCATCCCAAAGAACTAATTATGAATTATGTGAGATAAATACTTACTCGATCCGCCTCTAAATGGCTTTACTTTTTGAATCTCCCAATAGCTATTAGTTACAATCAAACTATTAGGATCAATCTCGATAAAAATCTTAGATTTTTGTAGCTTTTTTTCATCTTCTTTCTATTTTATGGCATTTTCTGCATCATCATCGTTCTTATTACTATTAATGTCAATAAAAGGCTAATTTGTATTACTTTTCATTTGCAAGTCCAGTTTGACTCTTTTATTTGATTTCTCTTTAAAGAAAATCTGGAAAAGAGGGTAACATAAGATCGACTTATTTTTCATTTACTGACAGGAAGCCTTTAGCCTCTTTGTGGTAAAGTCTAAAAGTGTCTCCTGATTAAAATGTCTTATTATCAGTTTAGCTATAATTATAGTCCATAAACAACCTTGCTTTGAGTTTAGAAGCCTCATAACTTCCATTCATTTCTAGAACAGCAGCATTCCATTCTTATTGAATTTCATAGGTATTAACATGAACAAAGAATTTAGGTTTGGAAATCTTATCAGGGATGAAATTTTAAATGTAAAACGAATCAAGGTATGATATTGATTAACCTTAAAACCTATAATAATTACAATATTATGCTATTGGTTCCTTACTTGATCTTTTAAGAGGGCATTAGACAAAACCAAGAATCTTCACATAAATCTTTCAACTACAAAGCCACACATCCATGCTCTTAGCTTATCCTTTTTGGGTTTAAAGTGAAGTACTGCCCACTAAATTGATGCTTTAATTGTATTTTCAATCCATATGAGATTTTTTACCCCAGATTCATGTTTTACTCATATTCATTGTTTTTCTTTTCTTCTCTTAATAATGATTCATTTGCTTAAATTAAACTTTAGCATTCATCGATTCTATCTAAAATTTACTCCTAAGTTTCTTTATCAGCATCTACTAGATCTATATTTAATTCTTAAAGCTTTTTAATAAGTTCCTAGTGAATCATATTGTATTTGCAGTCCTAAGCAATCTCAATTTTGAATAGGCAGTTCTAAAATGACTAGCTACCATTCATTGGCAAATACACTGTTTTGATTTCTCCCTCAAAGTTTTCTTATGCTGTGAATGATCTAGGCACAACCCTAAATGATTTATTAGTCACACCATCACCTAAAATCAATTAAAGCTACAGATATTACTCATAACAACTCCTTTGTAAATCATTTTGGGCTTCTCAGTGATCTTTGCTAATTAAGCACCTACATGCTCTTGATCTTCTGCAGCTTTATGCTTAGTGTCTCCATCATGAACTTTCTCAATGAAACTAAGTGAGATAATGTCGCCTATTTTAAGAAATCCTTTCTTTTCAATCTCAGCATTAATTCTGGCGATCTCCTAATTTATCTGTTTTTGCTACTCGTTTTATTATATTTGCATTAATGCTCCAGACTACTAGCTTTACTTTATCATCTTCGTGTTGTTATTATTATTGATCATTGTTTAACTGTTGGGATTCTCCATTGAATACTCATTCATATTAATCTTCTTTAAAAAACTCTGGGACAGGAGTTATTTGCTTCTATATTATGACCCCAATTACCCACTCTCCTCTTGTATATTGGTATGATTAAGTTGCTTGTATTACTTTGGATTTGGACTCTCATCTCTTGAAAAATTGACCATCTAACATTAAATTTAATAAGATTGCTTTATATCAACTTACTATAATGAATGGGTTTAATAAAAAAATTCGAAATAATGAGAATAAAATGAGCTGAACAAAGTATTTGAATTTCGAAGTTTACTTACCATCTTAGGTCTCTTCTCTTGTTATATTTTGGCGATCGAAGTTTGCCCCCAATAATCCACTCATTCCTTTTACCATTGATTGTTGGATCGATTTTTATCGAGGTGGTAATGACTACTCTTTTCTTGTCTCTACAGACTGTAAAATCTAAGTTCTGTTTCCAGTCGAAGCTACTCGGCTATCTTTATTTTAAGTCATTGGATTTGAGTATTAATGTATTTATTCTCTCTCATTATCGATATGCCTATGATAATAGTAATATAAATTTCTTACGCATTTAATTTCCCCTGAAATTCATTGTAAAAATGATGCGCAAGTCCTTGATAAAGACTCTATACGAAGTTTACTTGATAAATTCCTTACCTTTGCTAATTTTTTCACAGCCTGCTCTTAAAGCATTTATTTTTGATTTAATATTTATGATAATTCAATTCAAATTTAATTTTACCTTAAGGGGTTTTGGGGTTTTGGGGTTTTGGGG